AAAAAAAAAAAGTCATCTTCATTTTAAAAATATCTACACTCTTTATTAAGCCTCTCTACATCCAGTGACCCAGATTTTCCCACAGCCTAGGAAGCTGACAGGTCTGGAAGTACCCAACCATTTCACAGATGAAGGCACTGGGCTTCAGAAATAACGCTGATGGCCTGATTCTGGGCGCTCTTCTCCCACCGTGCAGCTACTCCAAGATCAGAGGGATGTGGAAAATCAGGTGCCAGCTTTGGTCAGAAAAAAACCCCCATCATTTTAGCAGTCTTACTATGCCCAGTTACTTAACTCTCAGACAGGGAACAGAGGAACACCATCGAAGACAAAGCACTGAGAATGATTCATGCTGCGCCACCTCCCCCTGGTGGCGGACTCCGGAAACTGAATGACGACGAGGAGCTAAAGCAGCTGGACAATGATAGACGACTCTGACTTAAGAGTTTTCAAACTTTACGATGGTGCAAAAGCAATACGTGTCCACTGGAAACCGTACTTCAGATTTTGAATTTGGATCTTTTCTCGGACTGGCAATACGCGGTCCGATCCTCTCTTGTGACACCGGGTGACAGCAGCAAGCCCCAGCTTACGGTCAGCCCCAAGTTCACAAGGGTACACAACTTATACAGCCACTCCGTGCCCATACCACCCTTCTGTTTTGCAATCAATTACACGAGATATTCAACACTTTATGGTACAACAGGCTTGGTATTCAATGATTTTACCCAACTGTAGGCTAATGTGAGTGTTCAGGGCACATTTAAGGCAGGCTAGGCTGAGCTATGACATTTGGTAGATTAGGTGTATTAAATGCATTTTTGACTCACGATATTTTCAACTTACATGATGACATTATCAAGATGTAACACCATTATAGGTCGAGGAAGATCTGTACTGTCTTCCATCAATATCACCCTTATTTCTTTAAATCATCAAGAAGAATCATCTTGCGTCAGGGAATCAGGTACTGATACAAATACACATAACAGGGCCGGGTGTCAACCAAGCTCAGAGCTTTGGATGATGCTCAGAGGGATGCCACTCTCTCCCCTGTCCTTTCCTTCCCTACCACATCTGTGGCTGTGGCTCCTGCCCCCAGTGTTCTCTTGCACTGCCTTTCCTGCATTCTCTCTGCCTCCATCATCCATTCCCGAGCCTAGAAAAGGGCAAGGGGTGTCCACGTACTTTCAACCATGACAGAGCAGAGGGAGGCCGCAACATTAGAAGCATCTAACACAACCCTCCCAAGGGCTACTCCTCCGGCCCCAGGCACTAATCTTTCAAGTATGTTAGGTTACAATACTGACATTTCTTTGGAAATACCAGAATGCACCAGTATCAGCCTTCAACCGTGTCTCACTAGTATGCTGATAAACACACCACTTCCTTACGCTTCCAAGAAGAAGGAAACATTCAATAGGGTATCTGGAATAGGAAGAGAGAAAAACTGTGGCATATCACCTCTCCAGGGACCGTAAAACATCAGATTTATAAAAAATATGGAGGCACTGCAAGGGCATCTCTGTGAGACAGAGAGACACAGAGAAAGAAAGCAGACATGAAGGCATAAATGAAAACCAGTACCTTGTACAAGGGTTTGGTGTTCATCTTCTGAAATCCGGTCCCAGGCCTTGGGCAAAGCTTGGATGTTGGCCAAGTCTCCCCACTGGATGGAGGACAGGAGGCACTTTCTCTTCAGGTAACTTCCGGGAAGTTAAGGACTGCTCAAAAAGACAACGAAATATGCTGAAGGGAAAAATACCCTGGGGAGAGCTACGAGAAGCTAGAAGGGTAAGGGGTAGCTCTCTCGCACTCACCTATGTCACACATCTTTGCTGAGCACCTCTTCACTCACAGTGCTACAGGGCCAGAGGGATGAAACATCACCCCAACAATCTAGGATCTCACCACGCTGAGCAGAAAAACCAGAAAGTAGAAAGGGAGAATCTCAGGGACACAAAAGAGGAAACTCTGTGGCGGTTCAGAAGTTGAGTGATGAGTCCCTCCCATTTGGAGGGCCTCAGGAAGATTCCATCTGGCAAGAAAAGCATAAGGTGCAGAAATGAGGAAGCATGGAATGGTTTCAGGGCCGAGTAAATCCTCCAATCTGGCCGGCTGGAACACGCACAGCAGTCAGAAAGGTGGCTGAGAAGGCAGGCTGAGCCAGAACACAAAGAGCACCGAAGACCCACGTGGGGATTCTGGAAGCTGTCGAAAACTCCTCTATAAGCAACAGGCAGAACAAAGATGTCTTCAGGCTACCATTGAGGTCCCTAGCCGGAGCCGGCTTAGAGGGAAAGAAGGCAGAGACAGAGAAACCTGTCAAGAGGCTGCACAGATCAAGGGGCCTCACAAGAGGCAAGAGACTATGGAAGAGGCAGTGCAGATAGAGAAGAAAAATACAAGAAGCGCCAAGGAAACGGATTCAAAACACCTGACAGGCGGCCGTGTGGACGTTGGGAGAAGAGTACCTGGCACATAGCGCTCAGTAACACTGGCTGCGGCTACTGCTCCCCCGCCTAGGCTGTCCCACTGCCTCCACAGCTGCCACCGCCACAGCTGCCACCAATGCAGTGAAAAAGGAAAGCGAGAGGGAGAGGGGGAAGGGGCTGCTGGAGTTCCCACACAATGATCACACAGGGTTGATCCTACACCTGGAGGGAAAGGGGACTGAGTGTGGCGGCAGGACCGAGGAGCTTGTGCTCCCAGGAGCGACCCGGCTGGAGGCAGCTGCGGGAAGCTGAACATCAAGGCTAGAAACGAGAATGAAGGGCGGATTGGGGAGTTACTCAAATGAAGGCAGAAACTGAAGCCAGAGCGGAGATGCGTGATTCAGGCAAGACTTATGAGAGGGGCGCCTGAGTGGCTCAGTCAGTGAAGCGGTCGACTTCGGCTCAGGTCGTGAACTCATGGTTCAGGAGTTCGAGCCCCGCATTGGGCTCTGTGCTGACAGCAAGGAGCCTGGGGCCTCCTTTCGGGTTCTGTGTCTCCCTCTCTCTCTGCCCCTCCCCTGCTCACACTCCGACTCTCAAAAATAAATAAACATTAGGAAAAAAAAAAAAAAAAAAAAAAAAAAAAAAAAAAAAAAAAAAAAAGAATTGAGAGAAAAGGGCCAGAACTCCAATGAACTGGTGGTATTCCTGCAGCTCCCCTGGCTCCACACCACCCCAAGTCTTTCCTCCGAACTCAGCCAGGTGATACTGTGAGAAAACACAGGCTGATTATGTTATCCTTCTTCTCAAAACCTTCTAACAGCTTTCCACCTCACTCTGAGCAAAAGCCAAAATCCTTTCAAAGACCTCCAGGGCCCTATGAGGTCCAGCCCCATCTCTCTGACCGTGTCTCCTGTTAGGCTCCCCGTCCTCATCCGCTCTAGCCCTGCTGGCTTCCGCACTATTTCATGAACATGTCAGGCATGCTCTCCCCCAAAGGGCCTTTGCACCTGCGGTTTCCTCTACCTGGGACACGCTTCCCCCAAATATCACATGGCTCTCTCCTTCGCTCTCGTTAGGTCTTTTCTCAAATGCCACTAACCCAGTGAGCCCTCTCCTGCCCACCCTATTTCAAGTCAGGACTCAATGCTCATCCCTCACTTGCCCTGCTTTATTCTTCTCTAAGTTCAGAGATCAAAGAGAACTGACTGACCCATACTACGTAGTGGTATAATCTCACGAAAACTGAAAGACTTCCTGAAGCAGCTCTGGACGCTGCCTGAAACATGTGCAAAGGATACGAATTTCGATAATGTCTCTCAATATCTTGCAACCATTCCAACATGTCAGCCACCGAAGGGCTCACAACCGAAGCCTGGAGGACACCATCCATGCCAATCGTGTCTGCATGCTGCTCATAGGTCTGAAGCACTCGCTCCACGTGGCTGCTGACGGTGTCACGCACCTTGAGGAGGGCGGTTCTGGGGGAAAAGAAGTCTCGTATTAGGCAATATCATGAGAAAGGCCTAAGGCAGGGTTCCTCAACCTCAGCACACTCACATTTTGGCCTGGATGGTTCTTTGTGGTGGGGAGGTTGCCCTGTGTATTTTAGGACGTCGGGCAGCATCGTTGGCCTGTACCCACTAGATGACAGGAGCAAACCATGCCCCCACCCTCCCCGAGCTATGACGATCAGTAATGTCTCCAGGTATTGCCAAATGTCCCAATGGGAAAAATTGCTCTGGAGACACAGACTACTGTGGATCCTCGGAAAGTTACTTATTCTCAATCACGTATAAAAATGGTCTTGCTCATGGGGCGCCTGGGTGGCGCAGTCGGTTAGGCGTCCGACTTCAGCCAGGTCACGATCTCGCGGTCTGTGGGTTCGAGCCCCGCGTCAGGCTCTGGGCTGATGGCTCAGAGCCTGGAGCCTGTTTCCGATTCTGTGTCTCCCTCTCTCTCTGACCCTCCCCCGTTCATGCTCTGTCTCTCTCTGTTCCAAAAATAAAGAAAGGGTGAAAAAAAAAAATTTTTAAAAAAAAAATGGTCTTGCTCACTGCACACCCTAAGTACCTAGAACACGGACACTGGTGCACACAATGACAAACACTTGTTCAATGGATGAATGAGCAGAACGGGTTCTTATGAGGACTAAATGCAATAACGTATATAAAATGCCCAGCAGGAAAGTGCCCACCTTACGGCAAATATTTTTATCATTCCACTGGTGACTCCAAGGGACCAGCCACCAAGAAGGCGGCTACAACTTCCAAAAGGACAAAGAATTCCCTAACCTAGAACTGGGGCTTTCAAAACGTGTGGCCTTGACTCACAATTAAAAAACAGACTTAGGGGTGCCTGGGTGGCTCAGTCGGTTAAGTGTCCGACTTCAGCTCAGGTCATGAACCATGGGTTCGAGCCCTGCGTCAGGCTCTGTGCTCACACCTCAGAGCCTGGAGCCTGCTTCAGATTCTGTGCCTCCCTCTCCCTCTGCCCCTCACCTGCTTGCTCACTCGCTCTTTCTCTCTCTCAAAAATAAATAAAACATTTAAAAATTAAAAAAAAAAAGAATGCCAAAAAAAAATAGACTTAAAGTAACAGCCCAATCCTCACAAATATGTCAACAACTGAAATAAAAGTACCTTAGAATATACCACAACATAATTTAATTGACTGATGGTCTATCTCTTCTAATCAACTAAGAAACTAAGTCTGGTTCATTGCTGTATTCCGAGCACCTTGCACTCGGCATCCCGTAAAGGCTTCGTGAATGTATTTTGTACAAATGAATACAAAGAAGGGCCCCATCTTTGACAATTTCCAAGTAGTCTATGGCACAGACTGTATACACTAGAACCTTCTCTTGCTCTAGTCAAGGAATGGCCTACGTGCCCTGCCTCTTGTTTATCCTCAATACTTAGAACTCTTAGAGGGTCTCCCGTTCAGCATACTAAGAGTTTAGAGATGTGCTATGCTTGGCACAGAGACATCAACGTATAGCAGAACAGAGTGGCAGCGGACCACTCTGGCCTTGACATCAGGTAAACTTGAGTTAGATCCCAGCTTTACCATTTATCAGTTGTGTGACCACAGGCAATCTGATGGAGACTCGGTTTCCTCACCAGCAAAATGGGATGAAGTGAGGTTAAGTTAGAGATGCTGAAAAGATTTTATGAGATAATACCAGGGTAAAACCTTTGACTCTTAGCACCTCTGAAGTTTAAAGTACAATTCCTCACTGCTTTTTATAAAAGAACTGTAGAGGGGGGCTAATAAGCTTTCTCCATGGCTTTTCTCTTCTCCTTTTGTAACTTCTCCTAAGGCCACCACTGCCATGCCTTACGGGGCAATGGAAATGCCATAAAATGACTTTCTGACAAGAGGTCCCATTGTGCAACAAATGGGGCGGAGGGTTGGAAGGAGGGAAAGGTTGAACAGAGGAGGGAAGGTTGGGACACCTCCAAATATCATGCTCTCAAGTAAGGGAGAAAACTCTCTTCTGACTGATACTGGCTACTTATTAAAGACCAAGTTTTCCCATTTTTCCGCCAAGAAGGAGCGGCACTGAACTCTTACAGCCTCTCCTCTAACTTGTCCAAGACAGTGTCTCCAGCCCACAGCTGCTTGCGCCTCAGCCGCTCCTTTAAGTCTGGGAAGGCCCGAAGTGGTGGCACGTCCTCAAACCGCAGATTCTGGGCCGCCTGCAGCTGCTCTGCCAGGTTGCTGAGGGACAGCAGGAGGGGCTGGCAGTCCCTTAGCGCACTCTGCCACAGGCCCTGCTGCTCCTCCACCACCGGGAAGCACTGCTTCAGGGCCTCCTGCACCGCAAGCAGTGGTTGGTCTTGGGTCATCTTCTGCCGAGAACAAAAGCAGAAAGAAAAGAAAAGAAAAAAACCAACAACAGCATTAGGGCCGCAGGTGGGCGGGAGAAGTACCGGGTCCAGGAGTGATTCTCGTGTTCAAGTGAGGTTCAGCTAAGCCAGGGTCTCCTCGCGGGGGGCTGTCCATCCCTTCCGACAGGAAGTCCTGGCGCGCGGCGCTGTCTTACCTTCAGAGGGGCTCTCGGAGGCCGGGCCCTCGTCTCCCACCTCCGGAAGGGTGTCCGCTCTACCCGTCGGAGGAGGTGCGTCCGCGGCTAAGGCAGTCTCCGCGGTTTCAGACCGCGGATTCCGCAGGCCGGAGGGCTCTCTCCAAACGCGCGCTTCCCGAGCCAGAATCTTGTCTCCTTTCCTTGAAGCTGCCTTTCCGTAAACCAGCGAGAAAACTGAAAGCTAACACCGTCAAATTTTGAGGACCCGCCAGGGATGCCCCCAAGCGTCCGCAGTCTCGCTGCGCATGCCCCTGCGAGGCTGCTTAGTCGCGAACCTATGTCGTCACCGCAATGCCTTCTGGGTGTTGTAGTCCTACATGTGGACGGGCGGCCTGGTCGCGGAGCTTCCTTGTGATTGGATGTTGTGGGACCCACCTAAGACGGCGGCTTCTCATTCGTCAGTCTGTGGCAGTTTGAATTTGGTGGCGGCGGTCGCACGTCCGGATAGCCACGGAGCCGCTCCCTCCTCTCAGCTGCAGCAGCGAGGTTTTTCTCAGCCCATATCGCGACCCGCAGGTACGTGCCTCGCGACTCCTTTATGCTCGGGCCTCCAAGGACAGGGCCTCCTACCAGCCCTACCTGTAGAGCGCCCTCCCGCCTTCTCCCGCTCCTCCGCGGCCCCCGTACTTTCCCTCCCCGATCTCGGCCGCTGACCCCCTGTGGCTGCGTCCCCAGCTCCCCGCAGCCTCCACCCGAGCGCCATGGCTCCGGCTAGGAAGGGCGGCAGTCGGGTCGCCAAGACCAACTCGTTACGGAGCCGGAAGCTCGCCTCCTTTCTTAGGGACTTCGACCGTGAAGGTAAGGGGCGGCGCCCGGGTCGTTGCCGCTACCCCGGGGCGATCGCGGGGGCCCGGCGGGCTTAGGGTGCGGGCAGCACGGGTTCCGGGCCGCTTTCGTGACCCGTGTTCTGTCGGCTCTGCCCTCTCGCAGTGCAAATCCGATCCAAGCAAATTCAGTCAGACAGGCAGAACCTCCTCAAGGAGATGGATAACCTGTACAACATCGAGATCCTGAGGCTCCCCAAGGTGCTGCGCGAGATGAACTGGCTCGACTACTTTGGTAAGAGCTGCTGGCTTCCCCCGGCCTCGGCCCGGGGCGCCTCTGTGGTCACCTGAGTGAGGTCGTCCCCGATCGCTTTCGGAAATTGCAGTCCTACCGCTCCCCCCGCCCTCTTACCTCCCTTCCCTGCTTTATTTTCCTGCGTAGTACTTAATTAACATCGTCAACCCCCGCAGGTACGCGGACGTCCTTTCTAGGAGACCGGATGGTAAATATTTTAGGCTTTCTGGGCCAGAGGGTTCTCTATGGCAGCTACTCAACGCAAGCTGTTAACAGTTACGAAACAGCTGTAATGAATGGGCATGTATGTGTTCCAGTAAAATGTACTTATGGACACACCAAAATGTGAATTTTGCATGATTTTCACGTGTCACAGAGCACCCTCTTTCCTAAAATATTTTATCCCGTCATCTAAAAATGAATAAATGAGTAACTCGGTTTGTTACCAGAGCTCCGAGGGGAGGATAACCCCAAGCAGTGCGTTCAGTATCTTGTGGAAACTGTCAGTTTAAAAACTGAGCAAATCAAATTGGGAAGTGCACGCACTAGAGTTTTTCTGCCCAGAGAAAAATCGCACCCTGTTCACTCCCTTGTTAAATGTCCAAGGAAATGCAAGAGGCTGTCCTTTCTGCTGGGACACCCTTACTTTTCCTATTATCCTTATTATCACCCACTGTGTAGCCTCCTTCCTGACTAGAAATGCATGTTCTGTTCAAATAGTAGATATTTAATGACCTTTGGCTTGCCCTTTGCTTGCACATGTCTACAAATATTCACGGAGCATGTCTCTGTCACGATGCTAGGTGCTGAGAATGCTTTGGGAAATAAAACAGACTTTGTCCCTACCCTCAGGAGCTTACAAGTTAGCAGAGGAGGATCATTTTTTAAAATGCACATGTGATTGTATAATTAAAATTACAAAAGAGAGTAGTGGTCAGTAGGCACATTTAGAGAGGGCTTCCTGTGCCAGACAGGCATTGTACTGAGTGTATTACGTATGTTAACTAATTTTATCTTCATAACAAATGTGTTACTTGTTAATATTGCCTCGGTTTTATAGGTGACAAAATAAAGTGCAGAGATGTTCGTTACTTTGCTCAAGGGCTCATAAACTAGTTAGTAGCAGAGTGCAGTTAAACCCAGGCATTCTGGTTCAAAGCCTGAATCCTTTTCTTTTTTCTGTTAAAAAAATTGGTGGGGGGAGGCATCTGGGTGGCTCAGTCGGTTAAGCGTTCGACTTCGGCTCAGGTCATGATCTCGCGGTTGTGAGTTCGAGCCCTGCGTCGGGCTCTGTGCTGACAGCCGAGAGCCTGGAGCCTTCTTCAGATTCTGTGTCTCCCTCTCTCTCTGCCCCTCCCCTGCTCACGCTCTGTCTCTCAGAAATAAATGTAAAAAAAAAAAAAATTTTTTTTAAATTTTTTTTAATGTTTATTCAGTTTTTTGAGAGAGAGAGCGAGCATGAGCAGGGGAGGGACAGAGAGAGAGGGAAATACAGAATCTGAAGCAGGCTCCAGGCTCTGAGCTGTCAGCACAGAGCATGATGCAGGGTTAAAACTCACGAACCGCGAGATCATGACCTGAGCCAAAGTCCGGATGCTTAACCGACTGAGCCACCCAGGGGCCCCAGGCACCTCCAAAGCTTGAATTCTTAACGGTTCTATAGGACACTATGAAAGTTTCTAGAAGGAGGATTACCTCTACTTTATTCTACATCTAAATCTTGCACAGACCTCTTCCTTCAACATACATTGGCTACATACTTACTCTATGTCGTATTTTTTGCCAGAAACTGTCCTCAAGGAATTCAGTTCAAAGCAGGGTGGACCCTTAAACAGCTCTGAGTAGTTGTTGGGTATGATGAGAATGAACAACGAGCTCAGCACTTTGCAGCAATCTGTTGTGACAGAAAAATAAACAGAGTTTTGGATTTGAACTGAGTTTTGAAAGATAAATTAGAAATGTGTCAGGCACAGCGGAGTATTTCTGGTAGAAGAAATAGTACCAAGGCAGTGAGTCATAAGAGGCAGAGGCACATTTGGAAAATAAGAACTTTGGGGTGGTGGAACGTGGAATATGTTACGAGGGGGCCAGTCTAACGTGGAGAAAAATTAAAACTGGTTTGTGAATGTCCTTGATGTTGAACCAAGGGCTTTTAATCTGGTCCAGTTTTAGACAGATAACTGGTTATATCAGGGAAGATGGTTTATCATTAAGATCCGATAGTAACTAAATAAAATGTTCTTTTTAAAGCCCTTGGAGGAAACAAACAGGCCCTGGAAGAGGCAGCAACAGTAAGTGTTGTCCTATTTTGGAACTGTGGTTCGTTTTTAACTTTAATCCAGTCACAAAATCCAACCAGTGAGTGTTTACTGTGGAAGAGGTTTCATAGGGGATCTGTTTTGTTTATGCCAACTGAAAAATTATGGTTATCCAATGTTGAGTCCATAAGGCCCAAATAGTTTCAAGTGCTACAAAAGGAGGCAGTTCTATTTTTGGCAGCCCTGCCCTGACCTCCGCAGGCAAAGCAGAAGCCTCAACTCCCAAGTTTGTTTAAGCCCCTGGGCCATTACCTAATGACCTGGCCTGCTAGGTGTCAAGGAGACTCTTGCTCAGTATGACTTGTGTCATACTGTAGAAGCTATGCTCTTATTTGGGACTTTCAGGTTTCCTCACTCCCTCTCACCTCCTTCATCCCAGCATCACTATCAGGACTGAAGAGAGTAAGATGGGGAAGCAAAATAATTTAGATCTTAAGTCTGCACTGTTTAGTACAATAGCCACCAGCCACAGGTAGCTATTTTAATCAATTAAAATTAATAAAATTAAGACTTCAGTCCCTCAGACACACTAGTCACATTTCAGATGTTCAGTAGCCACACATGACTAGTGGCTCCATATTGGTAGCTCAGAAATAGAGCATTTCTATCCTTGCAGAAAGTTCTGTTGTACAGTGTTGGGAACTAGTCCATAAATGGGCTTCACAGAGACCCTGAGCACTCTAAAATCATACATAAACAATGTGTGTATATACATGCATCAGTAGTATATCTGGGGAGAATATGTATTACAACCTTTATCAGATTTACAAAGTGAACCCAAAAATCTACATCCTTCTGTGCACTGATCAGAATCCCTTGGATTAGAAAGGACCTGACTATAAAGGGTATATAGTAGCATTGAATAGCAGATCTCCACTGGCCTCAGAAGGAGGCTGGTACTTCAGGGGCTTCTGGGTGGGATGAGTAGTCGTGTTAAGCTGCTTCTCCAACTAGGTCACTCATCTCACGGTCCGTGAGCTCCCCTCAGGGCCGGGCTCTGGCTGATGGCTCAGGAGCTCAAGAGCCTGTTTCCCGATTCTAGTGCCCTCCCCTCTCTCTCTGCCCCTTGCCCGTTCATGCTCTGTCTCTCTCTCTGTCCCAAAATAAATAAACGTTGAAAAAAAAAAAAAAAGAAGTTGAAGGTATTTCAGAGCCAGTTATCCAGTCAGGAAAAAAAAGCTAGAGAAAGTTCTGGGAAATATTGTAGGAGGAGGAGATAACCGGAAAGTAAGAGCTTAAAAAACATCCTCAGTCCTGGTTTTTTCTTTGTGTTATGTTCCCCCCATCTGCACACCCAGATCTAATGCATCAAAAGACTTAACCTCTGAGATGAATTATACTCATTAGCTAATGCATCACCCTCTTTTTAATTAATCAGACATACAGAACTACCAATCAGAGAGCTTCTAATGTTATATGAAATAGTGCCATCATACCAAGTCAAAAGCAATTGTAGCCTTAGCTAATATGATTTGAAACTCAGGGAAGAAATGATACTTTGGTACAAAAGCTCATAATTATTAGGTGGTGTGGGGGGGGGGGGGTCTCCTGAGACTATTTCCAGGAAGACCCACAAGGCTCAGCATATAGTCATTCTCATGGCTATGATTTATTATAGTGCGAGGATACAAAGGGAAATCAACAAAGGGAAAAGGTGCATGGGCCAAAGTCTGGAAGAAACCAGGTGCAAGCCCTCAAGAGTCCTCTCCCAGTGGAGTCACATGGGACACCTTAATTTAACACATGTGAAATATCTACCAGAAAAGCATATTAGAGACTCCATGCCCAGAGTTTTTATTGGGGGCTGGTCACATAGCCATCTTCTGCCTAGCACATACCAAAATTCCAGACTTCCAGAAGGAAAGCAGCTATGCAACGTAAGTCATGGTGTTTGTACAAAGCTTAGGCCCAGAGGAGCCATTCTTACCAGGGAATGGTGGGAACCCTGAAATCCAAGTTCTCATGCAAGCCACCAGCCAGCCATGCAAACAGGCCTTCCTATGGGTATCAGTCTTGGGCCTGTTAACTCTTCTGCGTGGTAGGTGATCAGTGGCCTGCCACCACTGATACCTTCATAACATGCCAGTTGTTTCTAGGGATGGCAGATAGTTGGCCACTACTTTCTATTCCATTAGCCATTTCAGACATCACTAATCTCCTACAGTGCTGTTTCTTACTAAGATTGGACAGTCTCAGAATCCTTCTTTGAGCACTCCACAGATTTGCCACCCATCTGGAGATGAAGCCAGCGTCATTCCTAGTCTGTAACAACTCTTCTGATATTTACACGTGCCCTACAAGGAAAGGTATAGGATCATGCCTGCTCGTGGCTGTTTTCATCCTTATAGGTAGTTACCACTGGGAACACTTAATTAGAATGACGGTGACTTTTTGAAGGGCTCAGGAGTACAACAGAAAACCTTATCAACCCTCTAGATTTTAAAAAATCAAGAGAGAGAGAAGTCTAATACAGCACCGAGTTAGAGAACGTGAATCATCAGGATCTTGTATTGTTTGCCAGTGGGATGTAATCAAGTGCGACGTCTTTGAAACATGATTTGGCATAATATCAAGGCTGAACATTTGTGTACCCACAACCCTCCAGTGCCCTATCCCTGAGGGTACAGCCAAGAGAAAATTTGAACATGTGCATCAGACACACGTAGAATATAGTTCAGAGTAGCAATGCTGGTAATAGCAAAAGACTGTTGACAAGAGATTGGACAAATTCATTCTGGTAGAGTCACACAGTGGGCTATTACATGGCCGTGAAAACTAACTACAACTACAAACAGTGGTCAAAAATGAGACCAAGTAAAATATTATTTCAGCACATGTACATTTGTAAAAACTTACACGCGCTTTCTTTTAAGTAAATGAAAGGATAGTGGTTACCTCTGGGGAATGACAGGAAACTGGTCACCTCTGAGGGGAGACAAGGATGTAGAACAGGGCAGAATACAGAGCTGGAAGCAAGGTACCAGCAATGTGTTAGGTCTTAGGTGGTACAGTGCATTTATGGGAATTCACCATATCTGTTATAACTAGTATGTAACAATCTTTGTATGTATCAAATAATATGTTTTTTTAATTGTTTCGAGTCTTAAAATGCTCCTCGTAGTTGATGGAATATGCCTGGTGTTTTCTGGCTGTGTTTGTCACAGGCTGACCTGGATATCACAGAAATAAACAAACTAACAGCAGAAGCTATTCAGACACCCTTGAAATCTGCCAAAAGTGAGTACTTTTCAAAACCCTTTGTTGAACTGAGAGAGTGGAGGCTAGGGTGGTTGGCTGGTTGCTCAGAGAGGCCTCGGGGGTAAAGCCTCTTCCCTCTAATGCCCAGTCTTCCGTCTTATAAATCCGATAACATGATTTTGGCTGCCACATTGAGTTGATTGTATGCAGGACTGATAGCAGCAGACTCCCAGTGATGTGGGAGTGACAGTGAGAGTGGAAGGAGCGGGAAAGCTGTGTAGGGACCTTGGCCGCCTGCTGGCTCCCCCAGTTAAACAGGTTGGCGGGACTGAGAGGCCTTACGGGATAAGGTAAGGCCAGCCAGGGAGCTCCCGTGTGACCAGAAAGGTTAAGAGAATTGCAGAAGGACCTGTGTCCCATTGCATCATCCCACATTCCTGGATTCAGGGACCTGCTTCGTGAAATCATCTCACACACGACTAGAGAGAGGCTGTCCTGGAGGGACAGCAGGTTGTGGTTAGTGAACATGGACTCAGGACACATTGGGCTCTGTCATGGATTTTAAGTCACTGTCATTAAGCTTTCATAGCTCAGTGCATCCAAATCTTGTGAGGATAGGCCTGACCCATGGCCTGGATTTGGGGCTGCCCACCAGCGCACTTTCCCTGCTGGGTAGGGCCAGAAACACCGTCCGGTTCTTAGTCCATCTTGCTTTCCATCTTGGCCTTGTAGGGTGTGGGGGGCAGGAGATTTTCACTTCACCGTTGTCACATTCCCGTGCTGCCTTGGTGAGATTATGACATAATTGGACTGGGGTATTCCTAGAGTTCCTCACCTGCACATTTACAATCTGTTAGGCCACTCTGGGTTATCTCTACACTTAGGTAATACTAGTTTCTCTTCTGAGTTTCACCAGTTTTGCTTATGTGGTTGGGGAGGGGAGGGGTCTTTTGATTTCACCCCTGGGAGCCAAACACACCAGGACCAATGTCATCCAACAGTAAAGATTTTTTTTTTGTGCTCCCTTGACCATTGGACTTTGACTACATTGTGCTGCTTCCAAAAAAAAAAAAAAAAGATAAATATATTTTAATGTGTTTATGAATATATGTTTAATGTGTTTATAAATATATGTTTAATGTGTCAGAAAATAAAAAGCTGTCTAGTCTCATCCCCTGCCCCTCATGATTAGATGTGTGAATTTTCTCTGTGGAATCCCTGCTCAAGATTGTCTGGCTCGTGGTTGTACATATTTAGCAGTGACACTACTATCACTAAGCAGCTGCAATGCTTAGAAAGTTTTTTCTAATCTATGTAAATAATATTTGATTGTAATAAACAATACTTCTGACATGGGTCCAGTACTGTCCAAAAGGCTTTTCCATTGATTCATTCCACAGACACTTAGTAAACACAGGCACAATTCTAGAGTTTGGGGGTACAGGGAGTAACAAAGACCCTGCTCTTGTGGAGCACATTCCAGGTCTCATAATACCCCTAGGAAGTGACTATTCCCTTTTGTAGATGAGGAAACTGAGGCTCCACACTAAAAGCCCCATGATTTGGTTAGTGCTAAGACCAGGCCTCAAGCTCAAGTCTGGCTGACCCCAGCGTCTGTGCTCTTACCAGAATGCTGGGCATCATGTGGGCTTTTTTAACCAGTCTGGTGAGTTTCCTCTGTCTAAACCTTCTTTTTAAAAAAAGTCATCTTGTATATTCAAAGTCTTTTTCTTAATTACAACCTCAGATTGCATAAGTTTCATTTCCTATAAGAAACATGAATACATGATAGGATGCTTGGGTGGCTCAGTCGGTTAAGTGTCTGACTTGAGCTCAGGTCATGATCTCGCGGTTGGTGAGTTCGAGTTCTGCATTGGGCTCTGTGCTGACAGCTCAGAGCCTGCAGCCTTTCTCGGACTCTGTGTCTCCCTCTCTCTGCCTCTCTTTCTCAAAAATAAAC